CCGAGCCCGAGGACTGAGCCTCGGCCGCCCCCGACCGGGAAGGAGCAGGCAGGGCCCGAAGGGCGCCTAGGGCCTTAAGCCGGTCCGGCGTCGCGTTAGTGGCGCTCCCTTCCCGCCTGCAGAGACGCTTCCGCTGCCCCGAGGCCAATTTACGCGATTCTCCCCAGGGCCCGGGACGAGGCGGGTGCTCTGGCGGCCGGGACATGGATGGCTCACCCAGGCCGCCCTCTCTGGGCTCACTGGTCGCGCTCTTGGTGTCCCCGCCTCTGTGTCGCCCCCCCTACCTCCCTCGGCCCGCTCTCGAGGACCTGGCGGTACAAACGAGTTCAGCCGGGGAAAAGAAGTGTTATTTCACCAAATTTCGCGTCACGCAGTAGGTTAATGCAGCTACGTTCTCCTGGAGGCTTCCATTTTTAAATGAGTGCATGCATTTTAAGAGGAAAGATTTCAAGATCTTGGTGGAATTTTTCGTGAAATCCAAGTCTCACCTTGGATCCTTGCGAGACGGTTATTGGGTGACTTTTAAAGCCGGTTTTTATAAGTCAGTAAACAAATAGCGGAAAAATCCCCAAGCTCTCATTTTGTTAATGAAGAAAGTCAGTTGGTTGTTACCCCAAAGTACTCCATTAAAATTCTGTGATTGCAAAGTAAAAAAAATAGAAGGTTTTCTTGCCCAGTAGAAAAATAATTCAGTTCGTGAGTTGTATTTGTGTCTATTTTGTCTAATTTTCAACTTGGTTAATGCCATTGCTTCTGAAGATAAGTGATAGGTCTATCATCACAAGTTCTCCTTTCCCTTATTTCCCGATGTCTGAAATTGTGGTTCTCGTTTTTTGACTTAAAATTTTTCAGCATTAACTTTTCTATGGTAAACATCTTGTAGACGTTTAAGACCCCAGTAAAAATTAATGAGTGAAAATCTTTTCAAGATGGCTAAAGTTTATTTCATTCATTCAGTAGTATCATATTAGTCAAGTTGGTGATAGATTGCAGTCCCCTAGGTGGTTTGTGGTTAAGATTGAGGTTAAGTTTTTAGGGTTTGAGTACCTGTTTTTCTAAGAGTGCTTTTAGGTCTCTGGGTATCTTAATAAGTGCATAGTTAAGTGATCAGTATTTTCACATATTTTCCAGTGGACAAACTACCAGAATTTCTAACTCCTGAAAGATGAAAGTAATAATTATGGTCCCAGGCACTGCTGATTTTTATATGGCTGGCTCATCTATATCTAGCTTTTCCAGTTCAATTTTGAATCACGTTTGCTAATGATACTTTTAGGTATTATTTGTCAGAAATTACATTGGTATACATGATAACAGAAAATTTGTAGTGGCCCTCTTTTGGAGATGAGAGTTATCACAATTGTGTTTCTACACTACAACTTTCAAGGTCTCTTATGGTCTCATATGCATGTAGTATAGAATTCCCTTGATAATATTGCTATTAATCCTACAGCTGTGTTGCTGTAATCCTACTACTCTGGGAGCCCCAGGCCAGTGGATTGCTTGAGCTCAGGATTTTGAGACCAGCCAGAGCCAGACCCTATATCTAAAAATAGCCAGGCATTGTGGTGGGCACCTATTGTTCCAGCTACTTGTGAGGTTGAGGCAAGAGAATCGCTTCTGCCCAAGAGTTTGAGGTTGCTCTGAGCTATGATGCCAGGGCACTCTATCAAGGGTATCAAAGTGAGACTCTGTTTCCAAAAAAAGAAAAGAAAGAAAATATTGCTACTTAACAATCTTGATCATTATTATATAATGTATTGTTTCTTACCTTTCCGAATTCTGTGTAAGTCCTTCAGCAAAAGAAAACTTAAGATAATATTTTCATTTTACTCTTATTTTTAAAATCATTTCCAACTTGTTTGCCTCTAAATATTTTGTTTATTGGTAATTGCTAAGCTTAGCACAGAAAAACTTTTCAATATTCCCACTATGATATACCCTGCTGGATATAATATTAAGGTGTGACATCAGACTAGGCTTCAGTGCTATAAATAAATGTTGTCCATTGTTGAATGTTTTGGTGGAATTTAATCTTTTCTAACTGCCCATTGAAGTTTTATTTTGTGTTCATATTTTATTTGAATAATTCCTTATTTGTATAGCATTTTTATTGTGATGAAAGCATTGAGATTTTCAGTACTTTGTGAGACAGAAAACTGGTATTTGCTGTTTTGTTGACTTTTAAACTGCAGCCCAGAGCATTAAGTGACTTGCTCAAGATCTGGTACAACAGATAGAAGAATAAGGAAAAGGTGGTCTTTCAGTTCCTAACCATACCTTTCTGCTGCAATGCCAAAACTACAATGTCAGATGCCTGGTTTTTTTATATTCAGTTATGATTTGTTTCAAAAACTTTTTTACTGAAGTTATGTTGGCTGGTGCTTGCCTCTGTTCAGAGAGAACTGAATTAACTTAGGATAATAATGCTTGAGCCAGGAAACTACTGGGATCTGGGATGCTAGGCACTTAGCCACTCGAAGCTGAACTTCCTAAGCTGTTTCTCTGTGTTAAGGCATCAAAAGTAGATGTTAGTTCTAACATTCTAAATATGAGGTATATTATCTCTGAGTTATAAAACTGAAACCTTTATATAATTTTAAAACCACTCATCATCAACTACCGATTTTTGAGAGGCAATGAATTTTAGACCCTAAACCCCAGTTTATTTTATTTTTTTGAGACAGAGTCTCACCATGTTGTCCTCAGTAGAGTGCTGTGGCGTCACAGCTCACAGCAACCTCAAACTCTTGCACTTAAGCTATTCTCTTGCCTCAGCCTCCCAAGTAGCTGGGAATACAGGCAACACAACGCCCTGCTATTTTCTGTTGCAGTTTGGCAGGGACCGGGTTTGAACCCGCCACACTCGGTATATGAGGCCGGGACCCTAATCACTGGGCCACAGGCACCACCCTATTGTAGATGCTTTTACATTTTAAACTTGTTCTGTTGTGCTTTTTGCTAGACTATGTGTTTAACTGGCGTACATAGCTTCTCTATATGCCACAGGAAAGATTAACTTCATGAGCTTAAATTTTCTTGTTTCTTTTGAGACAGAGTCTTGGTCTGTCATTCCAGGTAGAGTGCAGTGGCATCATCATAGTTCACCGTAACCTTATTCTGGGCTCGAGCAATCTTTCTGCCACAGCCTCCTGAGTAGAGACAGAGACAGAGTCTCTCATTCTTCCTCAGGCTGGTCTTGTTCAGGCTAGTCTCGAACTCCTGACCTCATGGAGATTGCTGTGAGCTGTGACACCACGGCACTCTACCAAGGGTGACACAGCAATCTCCATCTCCTGGGCTTAAGAGTTCTCTTGCCTCAGCCTCCCAAGTAGCTGGGACTATAGGTGCCCACCACAACGCCTGGCTATTTTTTGGTTGTAGTTGTCATTGAGACAGTCTCACTCTGTGCCCTGGGTAGAATGTTGTGGCATTATAGCACACAGCAACTGCAAACTCTTGGGCTTAGGCTGTCTGCTGCCTCAGCCTCCCAGGTAGCTGGGACTGCAAGTGCCTACCATAACACCCAGCTAGTTTTTCTATTTTTAGGGTGTGTGTGCGGGGTGTCTCACTTTTGCTAAGGCTGGTCTTGAACTCTAGAACCAGGTGATCCACTGGCCTCACCCCCCAAATTGCTAGGATTACAGGCATGAGCCATTGTGCTTGGCCTGTTTTGTTTGTCTTCTTGAGACAGGGTGTCTGTCACCCACTCCAGCTCCATCACAGTTCACTGCAACCTCCAATTCCTGAGCTCAATTAAGATCTCTTTGCCTCAGCTTTCCAAGTAGCTAGTACTACAGGCATGTGACCACACCCAGCTAATTTTTTAATTTTTTATAGAGACAAGGTCTCACTGTGTTTCCCAGGCTAGTCTCAGACTCCTCAACTCAAGCCATTTTCCTGCCTCGGCCTCCCAAAGTTATGGGATTACAGATGTGAGCCATTGTAAGCATTTAAAATCTACCCAGCATCACACTTTTTTAAAAAAGAACACAAGCCAATGTAAGAAATTTAAGTAACTGCTGTTTATAAGTGTAAATATTGAAGATCACCAAGAATTTTGCAGTTGGGTTTAGAAGCAAAGACAGGACCGGGCATGGTGCCTCAACACCTGTAATCCCAGCACTTCGGAGGCTGAGGTGGGTGGATTGGCTGAGCTCACAGGTTTTAGACAAGCCTGAGCTAGAGCAAGACCTCCAAAAAAAAAATATATATATATACACATATATATATGTATATGGGGGTTGTGGTGGGCACCTATAGTCCCAGCTACTTGGGAGACTAGGGCAAGAGAATTGCTTGAGCCCAAGAGTTTTGAGGTTGCCGTGTGCTATGATGCAACAGCACTCTACCTAGGGTGACAAAATGAGATTCTGTCACAAAAAAAAAAAAAGGAAGATATAATGATTATTATCCTAAACCTGTGAATTATCTCTTCAGGTTTTTCAAGAAACACTTGACTGAGAGAGCCTATGTTGTGTTGTGTTTTATTTTGTTTTGTGAGTCTTTGTTCAGACTAGAGTGCAATGGCATTATCATAGCTCACTGCAACCACAAACTTGTGAGCTCAAGTTATCTTCCTGCCTCAGCCTCCTGTGTAGCTGGGGCTAATTTTTCTATTTTTTGTAGAGACAGGGTCTCAATATGTTGTTCAGCCTGGTCTTTAGATCTTGGGCTCAAACAATCCTCCTGGCTCGGCACCTGTGGCTCAAGTGGCTAAAGCGCGAGCCACATACACCTAAGGTGGCGGGTTCGAATCCCCAGCCCGGGCCCGCCAAACAACA